TATGGAGCGGATCGAGGAAACCCGCGCGGAACGCCGAAAGTTCATGTTTATGGCGTTTTCTCTTCCTCGGATGATGTGTATATAGATGTCGATGTACATCAACATCTCTATACAAAAGTATGTTCGTGTGTGTATATATATATGTACACAAACATGCCCAGATACTTGAGTTGGAATGCCTTCAGCTCCCTTGGGTCCTCCGCCCAGGGGGCTGAACACTCCGGGGGCCCGACCCAAACTGCCAGGCGTCCTTGGACGTGCCGCGCGCGCCCCCCCTGGTGCTCGCCGAGTGTTCTCGCGCGACCGCTCTGGGGGCACAGGAGGCCAACAACGGGCCAAGGGGGCCACGCGAGCCGTCCGAGACGGCCCCAAGAGTGCCGTCTGAGAGGTTCCAATCTGGCCCCAAGACAGCGCAGGAGGCCGCCCATGTGCCCCAAGAGGGCCGCACGATACTGAGAGCCTTGATTCCCTACAGGTTTTTGAACGCTGCTACCCATCTCGCATGTTTCAAGCTTCGAACCGCCCGAAACGGCCGAACAGGCCCCCAAGTGCGCCCACGACATGCCCGCAAAACTGGCAAGAGGGCGCCCGGATGGCCCGAAGGAGACCCAAGAGGGCCTTCGCGGGTGGGTCGCGGGGTGGGTCGCGGGATTCCACTTCAGCCACGCACCAGGGGACAGTAAATGACCGTTCGGCCCCCCCACTCTGAAGAGGGCCCCTCGAGGGCCAAGGGAATCATCACGAACTGACACTTCGAGCACTCCGCCCCAAGATTTGCCCCGAGGCCGCCAGCGGGCACCCGAGAGGCCCCCAAGGAGAGGGCCCTTGGAGACCCCCGGGTAGGCCCAACAGAGGCCCCCAGCAGGCGAACACAGGAACCCGCCCCCAAGAGGCCCAACAGAGGCCCCCAGCAGGCGAACAGAGGAACCCACCCCCAAGAGGCCCAAAAGAGGCCCCCAGCAGGCGAACCGAGGAACCCGAGGCAAGCCAAAACCACACCCAAGAGGCCCCCGACGAGCCTCCCAATTGATCCCGACAGGTATCCCAAAGGCCTCCGAAGTAGAACCCAGCTCCTGTGGCAGAATGGGCCGAAGTTCACCAGATCCGCTGCCCCCTGTGGTTTGCCACAAGTGTGAAGGGTGCACGGCGTGCTTTGGGTCCTTTTCTGAAAAAACAAAAAAAAACTCCCCCTGTGGTTTCGATCCAGCACGCCAGCCACCTGAGTGGCGCTTTAATTGCCCCATCATCGATCCAAGACTGCCTTCATGGTCTCCAAGACGGCCACGATGGCCTAACAGATGCCTCCAAGACGGCCGCGATGGCCACAAGAGCCCAAAATGGCCTCCAAACGGACCAAAAATGCCCACGCGACCGCCAAGATGGTCCAAGAGAGCCCAAGACGGCCCGAGAAGCGCCCAAAAGGCTCCCGAGACGGTCCAAGAGGCCCTCACGATGTCCCCCTCGGGAAGGCCCGAAGACGCCAACATCATTGATTGTCCTTTGGTTTTGCTTCAAAACGGCCTTCCGACAGGCCAAGACTGCCCAAAAGGCCCCCAAGATTGCCCCAAGATCGCCCAGGAGGTCCCCGAAATGGCCCCAGGACAGCCCAAGAGACGGCCCAAAGAGGCCTCCAAGACCCTCAACATGGCCTTGAAAACGACCCTGAAACGCCCCTAGAGGGCCCCAAGACGGCCCAAAAGGCTTCCAAGACGGCTTCTGACGGGTCAGGAACGTCGTAAGACGGCAAAGGAAACCCCCCCAAAACGCACGCGAAGGCCCCCAAGAGGCCCAATGAGGCCCCCGAGAGGCCTCCGAGAGGTCCGAGGAAGCTCCCGGGAGGCCCCACGAGTGGCCAAGAAGCTCCCACGAGGTCTCCTCGTCCTTCTCATCCTCCTCCTTTCTTCCTCCCTCTCATCATCCTCTTCCTCCCCAGCGTGTCCCCCCGAAGTGCTTCCACAACGGCTCAGGGAACGCATGGTGCAATAGGGTCAGGGCCAGGGTCAGGGTCGCAGCATGCGCCGGAGCGCGCCCTGCGCGGGCTGCTGCGTGTGCAGCAACACGCTCCTGTTGCCGCCGCCCATTCTTGAATACGCTCGCACAAAATGCTGTACTGTAGATGATGACGACCCATTGTTCTTGACAGACCCATTGTTCTTGACAGCTCTCGCACAAAATGCTGCACTGTAGATGATGACGGCACAGAAACTGCACAGAGATATATAACAGAAAAATGTGACAGAGATGTCGCAGAACATGTGACAGAGACAATAAACATTTAGTCGGTCCATCGTTTCGCTGGGCGCCCTGTGGACCTTCTGCCCAGGGGGTCCCACTTCAGTGCAAGGCTCCCCCAGCGCCGGTCTGTGCACTCCTGCAGTTTTTGGAAGAGTTTGCTCTTGCGCACGTCCTGCGCCTGCAGCCACGTTGGGAAGCCAAATCTCTCGTACTCGTGCTCGGCGTGATGCGTTGCTCGTTTGATCCAGTCAACGTAAGACTCGTCTGGCGCCCTGCCTGCGCCAACGATCTTCCTGAGCATTTTACGCATGGCAACATTGAGCTTGTGTGATCTTGCCGCGGTGAGCGTCCAAGTACCGCTGCCGTAGAGCACTGTAGAGGACACGACACCTGGCCAAACTTTGCCAAAACGTTTGGCCACACAGGCGTATCCTAGAAGGCAGGGGGCGGCGGTGATTCGCCGCAGGCGTCTCCGATCGATGTGTGACGAGCGTGCGCGCGCCTAGTAGACAGTCCTTCGAGGTTCTCACAAGACCCTCTAGCGGCTAGATTCTTATCCACATCCAGTGCGTCTACGGCTTCTGGGGAAGAGAGCCCAAGACTCCAAGGCGCACTGGATGTGGATATAACTATTGCCCGCAACCCTTTTCTAGAGAAGCACCCCGAGTCGCAGCCAGGAGAAGGAGGCAAAATCCGTCGGCGCCACATCGGGGCGTCGAATCGCAGCGGGATGCGCGTCGGATCGGGCTGCGCGGGCATGAACTCGGCATCGGATCGAATCGGCTGCACCACAACGGATGCACAGCAACGCTATGAAACACTCGGTCCCCGTAGGATCGGCGGAATATCGGTATCGAATCGTATCGGGGTGGCCAGAACCGATGTCGAATCGGACCGACTTGATCGAAATGGCCTCTGCGGGAGGAGGAAGAAGAGGGCGAGGATAGACGGGAACCAAACACAACAAACTTACTCGTACAACCACCATTGCTAACTACATATGCAGCCGGCAACTACAACTGCATAATCATCGGAATGCACGCGATCCCCGCTCTGTTCCTCAATATGATAATCCTGAAACTGCCCCTTATCAGTTTCGTTATCCTTACCTTCCTCCTCTCCGTCGTCCTTCTCCTCATCATGATCATCTCCATGTTCAAGTCCGCCCTCCTCCCTCCTCCCTCCGCCCTTCTCGTTGCTCATCATCCCTCAGCAGTCCTCAAGCATCGCTGATCGTAATGCCCTCTCTGCCTTCCCCCCCCCTCCTTCTCATCGCCCACCTCGTCGTCCTCGACAACCACTTACTTCGCTTCCGCGCCCCCTTCCTCCTCCCCCCCCTCTCCTCCTCATCATCCGCCACCCCCCCCTCTCCGTCCACCTCCCCTGGATTCGACCTGCCAACCGCACTCGCAAACATATCGGGGAGACGTAACACTCGGGTACGGGGGACTCGGGTTGGCGCGACGGGGCCATCATAAAAATGACGAGGCCCAATCTGAAATTTGACGCGAACTCCCGCTGCAGACATCCCACGAAAACTGGACCGTCAAAATCCAGGACGCGCTCGTCAAAAAAACGTCGGCAAACCCGAAACCCGGCTTACTCGGGTCTTGCGTTCCCCCGAACAAATCGCTTCGACAGCACTCCCCAAACTCCCGGAAACCTGTTCCAGATTTGAGCCAGGAATCTTCATGGCTGGGAGAATATGTGTCGTGCGCTTTTCATGCCAAACCACTGCATGTCCGCATGTCTCCCCACGCGAAATTCACAGGGCAAGCCCCCGAGTTCCTGGATTTGGCCCGGGAGCCCCAATACTCATTGCCCCATCTCCCTCCGGAGGCCTTCGGAGGTCCAAAGGTTTTCCTTCTTGGCCCCTTCGGCCCCACGTAGAACCGCGTGGGCCCGATGAGCCTGTCAAGCCCCATGACTCCAGTGAGCCACCTGGAGCCACACGAGCCACACGAGCCCACGGAGCCCCACGCAGCCACGTGGAGCAACATGGCCCCATATGTGCGACACAGGCTCTTAGAACCCCATGAGGCCCTATATCCCAATGCAGCCCTGTGGCCGGCAGGAACTTCACGAGGCTTAATTCATCACATGGGCCCCATGAGCCATGCAGGGCCATGAGAGGCCAAATGGGCCCTACGGGGCAATTGGTCGCATGTGCCCCATGAGCACAATGGAGCAGCCACACGAGTCGCATGAGCCCGAAAGGCCAAGTGCGCATATGAGCCCCCATGAGCCCGATGAGGTCACATGGGCCCTACAAGTCGCATGCGCCCCATGGATCCAACGGAGCCATATGAGGCCGGCAAAAACACATGCGCCTAGTAAGACTACGCGAGCCGGCTGCAACTACTACTGTGAGTCCCCTGATACCCTGAGGCTAAAACAGAGCCTTCATTGAGCCTGCAGCTGCGCGTAATCCTTTCTCTAGACACTATAGAATATGGATCGGTTCAACAAACAATTGTTTGTGCTTTCCGCATTGCGGTGTCCAAACAATGTCCGGTTCGCATGAACGATCAAACTGCTACAACCCCTCGGGGAGGAAACCGGCGTGAGGTCTCCTAGTTGCCTTGCCATGCGCGCGAAAGCTAGTACTTTACATTGCGCTCGCCGGAAATTGATGCGAGTTTCCCCCCCCCCCCCCCCATTACTACTCCGTACAACCGTCTGAGGAATCCTACTCGCTCACGCCGACACAACACCTTCCGACAACATCTAACGAATGGCGTTCGGCCAGCGGCCGCCATCCCCGCGGGATCCTGCACCAGCCTGTCCAGCCGGGCGCTGGCGATCTCGTCGCTGGTGAGCACACCTGGGAGGCCGCGCGCGTCGCGGCTGCTGTGGCATACACTCCTCTCTCTGTGAAACTACCCGCACGCGCACGCGCGCACACACACAAACACACACAAACACACACACACACACACACACGCACACACGCACGCACGCACGCACGCACATACACATACACAGAAACACACACATACACACACACACTCACACTCACACTCACTCACAAACACACACTCTCACACACACACACGCAGGCACACACACACACACACACACACATACGTGGCAAGACGGCGCATACCATACGCCGCACCCACGGTTGCGGCGCCAGAGGGCGTGAAGCATAGGGCTCTCAGTTCAGGGCGGGGCGCCAGACTGCACCCAGACTCCTTAGCGTTGCGAGCAAACACAAACGACTGACTTGTTTGTTTTGCGCATGATCTACTTCTGGGGGGCTCTCAATGGGACGGGCACTACAGCCACCCCGCATGATAAGGACGCGCGAGAAGGATGCAATGGCCTTGGGAGGCCGCGTCGAAGCAATTCGAGCGGGGCGCGGCCAACGAGTGGCCAAGGATAGACCGTGGATGCAAGGATGCAAGGGAACCCTTGGGAAGGGTGCCCATCCTTACCATGCGGGTTGACTGTGGAGGAAGGAAGGAAAACTGCATAGACATAAGACATACACTGTTGGAGGTCCACGCGGATCTCTTGGATCTGAGCTATAGAACCCCCTCCCTGGCGCGCGGAGCGCGCTAGGTGCGGGGCCACAGGCGCCGCCAGGGCGCTCCAGCGCAGATCCAAGAAATCCGCGCAACCTGTCGACGGTTTATGTGTATGCCGCTCTGTCTCCTTCGGACCAATGACGGGGCAAACTATTCTCCAGACGGACAACGCGTCTCGATACCGACAAGCTTGGCGGTGCCAAGCGTTTTCGGTCTCACTCGTGTCGGTCCCTGTCTGGTTCTAAAAGCATGCAGCTGGTCGGTCCCAAATCTGGTCCCCAAACTTGTCACTCCCAAAGTATATCGTGTCTGGCGCCGGCTCATCGAAGTGGAATAGCGCAGTCAAGCAGTACCTTACTTCCCCCTCTCTTAGTTGCTTCTGCGCGCGCGTGCTAGCAGGAGTGCCATTGTTCTTTTGACTGAGGCCAGTCTTACCCAGAACGCCTGATCAAACAAGCTGTCCTCTATCACGATCGTCGCTTGCTGCATGAGGAGGAACGGGCGAGGAGGATATAGCGTGGATAGAGTGCCCGATCCTCGCGGCGGTATGCGTGACTCCCGCGACGACGAAGAAAGACGCAACACCATCCCCAGGCCTCTACTCGGCGACAAGGACTGCAACAACCTGGCCTGTCTTGCAAGCATTGCGCACCGTAGCTGAGGACGTTGGTTTCAACTAAGGCTGGGTGTAGGCCTTATTAGAGCCACTGGCTCCACTCGTGCGTCGAGGTTGCGCTTAACGTCCGTCGACTGGAGTCTAACTGGAATCGAACCTGGGTCGAACCTGAGTCGAAACTGAGCCGCACGTCGAATATGAGTCGAACCACAGTCGAACATATCTAGCAGGTGGGCCCGAGCAAGGTCACCACATGAGCATCGAAGGAGGAGGAGGAGGCGGAGAAGGAGAAGGCGGAGGATGATGATGAGGCGGAGGAGGAGAAGGAGGAGGCGGAGGAGGGGGAGGCGGAGGAAAGGGAAGGGGGAGGCGGAGGCGGAGAAGGAGGCGGAGGAGGAGGAGGCGGAGGAGGGGGGCGGATGCGGAGGAGGAGGCTGCGAACGGCGACGGCCGGCCTCGCTGCACGTCGGCGCGGTACACGGCGCGCAGGAGCAGTGCGGCCAGCAGATCGTAGAGGGCCCGCTCGGCGACGGACGGCAGCGCCTCGGCGTCGACAGCGGCGGGGGGGGCGAGGAGGAGGAGAGGGACAACAGAGCAGAACGACTCTGGGGGACCGAGCTCGATGGTCAGAATCTGGCGGCAACAGTTTGGCCCCCGAGTGGCCTCTGCAGGCAGCCTCGCTTGGCTTCCAGGCTCTCTGGGCACGAGGCGAGGAGAAGGAGGAGGAGGAGGAGGACGAGGCGGAGGAAGGGGAGGAACGGGAGGAGGAGGAGGAGGAGGAGGAGGAGGCGGAGGAAGGGGGGAGGAGGAGGAGGAGGAGGAGAGGAGGAGGAGGAGGAGGAGGGAGGAGGAGGAGGGGGAGGGGGAGGGGGAGGAGGACAAGGAGGAGAAGGGTGCTGAGGGGCTGAGGGTGCTGGTGCTCCGTACCCTTCGATGGCCCCTCGCGCGCAGGCGAAAAGAGGGGGGACGACCGAGCCTGGGCCAGGCAAAAGAAGACCCAACAGAGACTCAAAGCCCAAATGCACCACACCAGGCCAACAAGGCTGGGCCACCACGATCTACCAAGCTCCCGCACGGGAGGAGGAGGAGGAGGAGGAGGACGAGGAGGAGGAGGAGGAGGAGGAGGAGGAAGCGGGCTCGATTCGAAGCAATAACGACCCGTCGGCCGGGAATGGTCCACAAGTGGGGGCCAGCGGCACGTGGGGCCTGAAGATCGCAGCGAGCTCGAGGATGCATCGAGAACGCCGCGATGGAGAACAGCGGCGCGAGGCGGGAACGCATCTTCGGCGGCGTACCGAACAAGGATGTAAGAAAGACAAGCCTTTTTCAGAAGGCGACCGGGCTTCTCAGAAGCCCTCCGCCTCCTGAGAAACTCAGTGTGGCTTCGGAAAGGGGGGCTCCTCGCACTTCTGAGATGGCCAGAGGCCTTCTGTGCCTTCTGAGAGGATGCGCCCCCGTCTGCTCTCCCTCCAGCGGGAGGCAGAGGGGACACGCGCACGGGCACGAGCACGCTTTGCCCCTAAGGAGGAATAACCTTCACCTCCAGAGAAACTGATTTTTCCCTACCAAGGCTCTGCCTAGAAGGGTTCTTACTGTGTGGGCTTCAAGGGCCGGGCAGTGGAACCCGCCCCGGGCGGTGCCCCCAGGATCCGCCTCGCGGTTCCCCCAGTGACGTTCCCTTAGCCTAGTGTTGCGTATCTCATCTGAGCTTAGCTTATTTCATCTCAGCTTAGCTTAGCTTCAACTTAGCTCAGATAGATCTTCGCTTAGCTTACCTTCATATTAGCTTCGCCGAGCTTTAGCATAGCAGAGCACAGCGTTAGCATGGATGTTGGGTGTAATTCCCTACCTAGGCTCTGCCTAGAGGGTTAGCTTAGCTTAGCTTTGCTTAGCTTAGCATAGCGTAGCGCTGCATTGGCATATCATAGCATAACACAGTCAATCACATCATAGCATAACATAGCGCTTCATACCATAGCATATCATAACATAGCATAGCATAGCGCAGCTTAGCATAGTATAGCATAGCACAGCATGACATATCATGACATAGCATAGAATAGCATAACATAGCATAGCATAGCATTGCGCAGCATAGCATAGCATAGTATAGCATAGCGCAACATAGCATGGCATAACATAGCAACTAATGCTGCTTTCCTAGGGGCTCCAACTTCTAGGTAGGCTCGCACTGGGGTAATCTTCAGACTCAGGCGAATGTACTGCAACAGGGCTGGGCGGAAAAGGCGTGCAAATGAGTCCCGGCCTGTGTGCAATCCAGATTTCCATTCTGGCCTCACTTTATATGCCCACTTGGCCGTCGCTTGGGTCTCTCCAAAGCCGTGATCCTCCAAATCTGGCAGCAAAAAAACGTAGAAGGTACATAAGACACTTGGGCGCCGATCCTCCCCTCACGCTGCTACACAGACCCCTCAGCACGCCATCAAACGCAGCAGGCAAGACGAAACACGTCGCCGAAACGGAGAGGAGAGGATGAAGAGGAAAGGAAGAAGACAGTGACTTGAACAAGGACCGACCATCCTGGCATTCTCACGGGTTTTTCTTAGAAGCCCCAAACTATTCGGATAACAGAAATACGATCCTTAGAACAATAGCCCGAGAGGGTTAAAGCACGACAGTCTCAGCCAGACATGTTCTAAGAACATCTCGTGCGAACCACAGAAGGTTATCAGATCACTCTTTGGTGGGCCCCTAGGCAAGCCAGGACGCTTCGCCACTGCTTGAGTGACGCAGACACGAGAGAACAACGAAACCAGAAGAAGACGCACCGGGAGAAATTGTAGACTTTCGGAGGTCCGCGCGATCGGCGCTTGATGCCCCGCCCTTGCGCGCCGAGCGCCCCAGGGGCTGCAACAGAGGCGCTGCCGTGGGGGGTCCATCGCCGATCAAAGAGATGAGGGAGGACACCAAAAAATTTATGTTCACGCAGGACGGCAAATAATAATTGATGTTCGCAATTTATGTTAACGAACTCATGTTCACGATTTAGGACGGATCTATGTTAGAACTCAGCATGGACACCCAGCAGGAATTTTATGCTCACAATTGATGTAACAACGAGAAATGCGACGACGAAGTGACGGTGCGCCAGTGCCGGCCTCGTGCACGCTGATTGCGGCTAGCAGCGCGTAGAAGCTGGCCCCCAGGAAGCCGAGGTCCGGAGGTATCCTCTCCCCGAGAAGCTCCTGCCAGGGACATCGCATCCTCATCATTGCCGTCGTCTTTCGGTTCCTCGTGCTGATAATCATCCTCCTCAATCCCTTTCCTTTATGTATAAATCCTCCTCGCCTGACCCCCAGATGTGTCGGTACGGCGAGCCGAGCGTTTCGCCAGAAGATGCCTTCCCTGTGATTGGTACCGACACTTGAAATCCCCAAAGGTTATACGGACGGATGGAGGGGGTGTCGTTTTTAGAATGTGGCTCTCGCCTTGTCGCCGCAACCTTAATCTTAAAAGCCGCCGGCAATTACACGGGCAGAGGGTACGTCATTATCGAAATATGGCTCTCCTCTTGGCGCCGGGCGCATTCGCCTGAAAAGTTCCCAGCAGTTACATAGTATGAGGGCGGCTCCGTTCCAGAATGGTCCTTGACCGAGCGCAACCCCCATTCGTCGCAAGAGCTTCCAACGGTTACACGGACGGAACGGGGGCTCCGCTTCACAATGTGGCTCTCGCCTTCATGCAGCGCACATTCGTATGACAACTTCCCAACAAATACACGGATGGAGGTCGGTTTCTTTTCAACATGTGGGCCTGCTTCTTTTTGGCGCAGGGACGACTCTTCTAAAACAGTCTCCCAAAGACGTGCGGATGAATGGATGGCGGCTGCTATTCACAACTTGGCGATCGCTTTAGCGCTGCGCACATTCGTCGTGAGAAGAAGTCCCCCGCTATCACACAGACGAAACGGGGTTGTTTTTCAACATGTGGCTCTCGCATTGGCGCCGCGAAAGTTCTACAGTTCCAGCAGCTACACGGAAACGAAGCCTGCGCATGTTCACTGTATAACGTTCGTTTGAGACTCCCCTAAACCTCACGGCCAGGAGTCTCGTGCGCAACAGCTACACGAATAGATGGCGGCCCTGTTTCCAATCGGACCTCTCGCTGTTGAGAATTCCGGAGGTCTGAGGTTCCACGCCCAGGCGCTTAACAACTGGACAAACACTGCACGGATGGATGGCGGCTCTGCTTCAAAGCTGGGCCCTCGCTGAGCCTGCCTCGTCGCCGTCATTCCTCCTCCTCCTCCTCCTCCTCCTCCCTCCTCCTCCCTCCTCCTCCTCCCTCCTCCCTCCTCCCTCCTCCCTCCTCCCTCCTCCTCCCTCCTCCTCGTCGCCCTCCTCCTCTTCCTCCTCCTCCTCCTCCTCCTCCTCCCTCCTCCTCCCTCCTCCTCGTCGCCGTCATCATAGCTGGAAGCGTGCACGGGGCCCTCGCCCGAGCTGCAGGACCACGACCACGGGGCGCTCGCCCTCCACAGGGGGGGGGCACGCCCTGCAGTGACAAAACACACATCTCCCGGTGGGGGCTCCTTCGGATCGAAGGGCCCCCTGGGACACACACATAGATAGACACAGCTAACAGAATTCCCCATATCTTCCCATATAGTTTCCATATTTTCCATATAGAAATAGAGGCAGATAACAGGATTCCCCATAGTTTTCCATATATTTTCTGGGTGTTTGTCTTCCCCTCCACTTCCCATAGTTTCCCAAACTTTTTCTGGGGAGACGACGATGATTTGTATCTGTGTTTTTTCCCCTTCTGACGGCTGCTACTCGGGACGGCTGTGCGCCCTGCAAGTTCGAAACGTGTCGACTGGCGGCGTCCCCGCCGCTGGCGTCCAAGGTTGAACGCCGCGGGCGACGCAGAATCGGCCCATTGTCGAACGAATCGGCGTTCCTGCAGCGGCCGATCCGTTCAAGTTTGAACGAACCCCGCGGTGTGGGAAACCAACGCCGGAATCGACACGACGGGAACATGCCGTAGGGTAGCATCGGCCATACACATTGGGCTTACTCTGGTCCGAACTCCTCCGCCTTCTTTTGCCCCCTCTCTTCCTCCGCCCTCCTCCTCCTCCTCCTCCTCATCCTCCTCCTCCTCCTCCTCCTCCCTCCTCCTACCTTCCCCTCCTCCTCCTTCAGCGGGCAAGCTTGGAGAAGGAGGACAACGAGTATGAGGGTAACGAACAAGCAATCAAGCAGGATGATAATCAGTGTAAACCCAAGGAGCCCTAAAAATGTTGCAAAAACCCTCCCTCCAAGTGCTTCTTCATAGGCACACGGAAGTACGTTCGTTGCGAGACGTGCCCCATTGGAAGACTACAGTATGAGAATCCTCAATCGTGCCAAATTGCAGTTCATGCGCTCTCAACACTGCGAACCAACATGACATGTTAATCCTGTCAATCTGGCATCGCGCCAGAAAGCAAGTCGTGACTCTTGTGCCAGGACGCTACTCCTGGGACCTCAACCATACGAAGTTTTCAAACACCAGCAAACTCTTGAAACGAATGTGCGCGACTTTCAGGCGAGAGCCACATTTTGAATCTGAACCGCCCCAACACTTGAAACTGGTGCAAACTTTCAGGAATAATGTGCGAGTACCGACCGACCTCTATCCTTGCAACGGGTCTGGACGTTTAAGAATAATGATAATGTGCGCGACGCTCAAGCAAGAGCAGCATGTTGAACACCAACCGCCCTCGATCCTTGACGATGATGCAAACTGTTAAGACGAATGCGCGCGGCCTTTTAGCCGAGAGCCACATTTTGAAAATGAAGCGTCCTTCATCTTCAACGCTGATGTAGACGTCACGCTTCAAGATCACACATGGCGAAGAAATTTTAGGCGACACGCCTGCCCCGATCTACTGACACGGGTGAGAAAAGGGAGAAGCGATTTAGAAGGCAAAGGGATTGAGGAGGACGGGGCAAATCGAGGATCATAGGCAAAAGAATGAGCAGGAAAAGGAGGAGAGGATGCGGAGGAGTGGGTTCCTCAAAGCAAAGGTGAGGATGGGACGCGCGACCTTACCCTCGGGGAGGGACATGGAAATCGAGGGGGTGTGGTGGGACGCGGGTATGAGCGATGCGCTGTACTCCGTTAAAGGCCTCAGGCGCCAACTCTATGGTGAGCAGAACTGTGAGGCCTGGTACCGGAACAGACAGCGCCGTGGCCAGGATCCTGGAACGTGGCAGGGAAACTGGGGAATTGAAAAGCAATGACAATCAACACCTGCTCTGAAAAGAACTCCTGAAGCCTGGGGTCAACAGGCCGGGGAGTGAGGGGGAGGGAGGACGACGACGTTGATGACGCCCCCGAGGAGGGAACGAGGGAGAAGGGGGGAGGGAGGGAGAGAGGAAGGAAGGATTACCAGAGGGAGGGGGAGGGAGGGGAGAGAGGAACGTGGAATGAAGGGAGGAGGGGGAGGAGGGAGTGAGGTTGGAGGAGGGGCAACGAGGGGGAGGGGGGAGAGGGAGGGGGGACGGCAAGCTAGGTGCGCTCGCGTCATATCTGACATCCTACCCCTCCCCCATCCCTTACCATGGCGCAGATCCCCTCTCTACTCGCACAGTCGGATGTCGAGCAGGGCAATGATCCCGAAAGGGTACGCGATGCATTGTAGAGCACGGCATGGCATGGCGTAGAAGAGCACCGCAAAGCGTAGTATCAACCTAGCATTGCATTGCATGCCGTGGCATGGCACGGGAAATGACGCCAGCGCTGCAGCGGGAGCACGAGTCGAAACGAGCGGAAGCGCGGAAATGAGGCCAGCGCTGCAGCGGGAGCACGATTCGGAACGAGCGGAAGCACGGAAATGAGGCCAGCGCTGCAGCGGGAGCACGATTCGGAACGAGCGGGGCCCGAAAATGAGGCCCGCGCCTCAGCGAGAGCAGCATTTTGAAAAAAATGCAAGCGAAAACCCAACTCCCGGGAATCCTGTGTGTAAAAATCAGGACGCGGGGGGGGGGGCGAACACTCCCAGCACGTCATCAGGGGAAGAGGGAGAGTAGTATTCATATTGAGTTATTGTAAATTGGGAATGAAAGGAGGAGGGGGGGAGGGAGGAAGGATGGAGGAGGGGCAACGAGGGAGAGAGGAGGAGGGAGGATGACAACGACGCTGATGACGACCTCCTCTGCCTGGCCCCAAGAAAGGCCCGGGCGGCCCAACCAGAAGTTCCCGGAGGTGCCTCTGGAGGCCCCCAAAGCACCGCGCCGGCAACGCTCAGTAACCTCCATGCCCGAGCGAGCACGACGACAAACGTCGCCGAAAGCCTCAGACACTCTGCCTTTCAGGAGGGAGGAAGGACTTGGGGGAGGGGAGGGGGTAACGAGGCGCATGCTGAGGGAGCGGGGAAGGAGGGAGCCGGAGGAGAGAGAGGGATGAGAGAGGGTGGAGGGAGGAGAGAGGAGCTTTCCAGGACGAGCCGCGGTATTGGTACCATTTCATCCTCTGATACTGGGTCGCATTGGGGTGCACATCGTCGGACATCAGGTGTAGGGACATCGACGACGCCGCCGCTCTGGGAGACGAATCCGCCGCCCCTTGTGTGCGCGGGCAAGACTGACTGATCTGACCTGGTTGAATCGGCTGACTGCGGGGCGGGGATTCTCGTTCATGACAGCGGCGACCTCGGCAAGGGGTGACTGCGGATGCATCTGGCCACACGGTGCCCGAACATACCCATGTCCACCGCCTGCCAAAAAAAACCGAGGATCGATCCCCCGGGCGGTCGTACAGTCATCGGCCCGACCTACGGAACGAAAAAATGAAGAACGGAGCCCTTCTTGCCCAATGAATAACGCATAACGATACACAACACATAACGCATAAGGAACGATACACAACGCCTGCAAACCTCAGGAACGTCCGCGCCCCTTCTAAAAAGTAAGCGTTCCTCATTCGAGCCGCTCACTGTAATGGCACCCCATCTTGCACACCTGGCCTTCGGACCCTAACTCGGCTCTTCGGGCCACGCTGGAGCGCCCTCGGCGAGGCGCAGCTCTGCTGGAGAGCATCCCCAGGCACGACAGCTCAGCATATCCCCCGACGACGTCCGAAAACCCTTCTGGAAACCCTGCGCTCCCCAGGCAGATGACGACGACAACGATGACGACGAAGAAGACGACGACGACAACAACAACAACAACACCAAGAAGCACAAGTCCAACAACAACACAGCATTTACAAGTCCAGCAACACCAGCAGCAAGAACAAAACATTTACAACACCAACAACAACACCAGCAACAACATCAACAGCAACAGCAACAGCAACAGCATCAGCACCAGCATCAGCAACAACACCAACAACATACACATCAACACACACATTTACAACAGTCACAGTACCAGCACCACCAACAACACAAACAACAACATCAACACTAATGTTAAGACTGGTCGCTCTTATCGCTCGCGTGCCATTCAACACGTATATTCCGAACCCTCGATACCCGCCCTCGTCGTCTTCGACCGTACACCCTTTGGGGTTTCTCGTTCTTAACTGCCACGTGTATTTCGTGCAGCCCCTGAGACAGGGGAAGAGAGGACGGATGGAAGGAAGGGACAAGGGGAAGGTAGGAGGATGGATCACGAGAGAGACTGGGAGGATAGGGGGCTAGTAGCAGAAAGCACGTGGCAAAACCAGACGGGCGGATCTGGCGGGTCGACCCTACCGGGCGGGTCAGAAAGGAAGGCCCAGGCGGCCAGGTCGAGCAGGCGGGTTGCTGAAGCGTGCGTCCTGCTTGAATCACGAGGAAGTCTCGAGCGACAGCTCGATTTTCAAATCAATCGTGAGGAAACCACAGCGAGAGCGTGACTCCTGAATGTCGAGGGCGCGGCGTCTGAATAAATTGCGAGGATGTCCCACGCAAGAGCGCGAATCCTGAGCGCGATGTGGGAACCAATTGTGATGAAGCAGCAGGCTGGAGCCGTTGTTGTTGCTGTTGTTGTTGTTGTTGTTGTTGTTGTAGTTCGGAGGCCAACAACGCAATTTGAGGAGGAATACTTTCTTTGATAGAACACCGGGTGCGATCCCCGGTGAGGGCACTCCAAGGGAATAACACAGGGGGGGATCAGCAATACTTCACTGCAATACTTCACTTACTTCTTCAGTGCTGATAGCTCAGCGACGACGACGGTGTTTTGCCGCCGCGGGCTCCCGCGCGCCGATGCGAGAGCGCCATGGGGCGCCCCGGCGGGGGACAGCCGCGGACCGCCCCCCCCCCCGGGGAACACCGCGAGGCCTCCGCGTGAGCCTCCGGGCCCCTGGGCCCCTGGACTGCCAGCGGAGGCCGTGATCATCGAGCGGGAGCGCCTGCTCTGCCGGGGGGGGGGGAGGATCGTTCCACCGATCCCCATCCCCAGCGACGTGGCCTGGGCACCCACTGGCCGATTCACCCCCCTAGATGGGGATCTGGGTCGTTCCCTTCGGGCTTCACCCCCCTAGATGGGGATCCGGGTCGTTCCCTTCCCTTCGGGCTTCCCCGACTGGGGTGGTAATCTTATGTCGGGCGTGTCCCCCTCCAGGGGGATTTTCGAAGAAAAATAAAAGAAACACCAACAATCCACCAAAAAGGTCAAAACTTATCCTGGCAAAGCAACCTAACAGTGATGTGTATAAGCATATCTGGAAGCATTCCCCTTAAGATTCAGGTGAGAATCCAGTTGTAGAATTCTGCTGTTCTCGCAGTCGCAGTCGCATTCGCAATGACAGTCGCAGTGGCAACGGCCTTAGGATCCAATGGAATCCTAAGGATTCCTAGGGATTCCTAAGGCATCCTTACACATCCTTAGGAATGCATAGGAATCCTTAGGAATCCTGATTCCTAGGGATTCCTGGGGATTCCTAAGGATTCCTAGGGAATCCTAAGGATTCCTAAGGATTCCTGAGGATGCTTAACTATGCCTACGGATTCCAGAGGATGCCTACAGATTCCTAAGGATTCCAGAGGATGCCTACGGATTCCTACGGATGCCTCAGCCTGCCTCAGTTTCAGCCTGAGCCTCAGCCTGCCTCGGCCTCAGCCTCAGCCTCAGCCTCAGCCTGCCTCGGCCTCAGCCTCAGCCTCAGTCTCAGCCTCACCTTGTCTCAGCTTCGGCCTGCCTCGGCCTTATCCTCAGCCGCAGCCTCAGTCTCAGCCTCAGCCTGTCTCGGCCTGAGCCTGCCTCGGCCTCAGCCTCAGACTGCCTCAGCCTCAGCCTGCTTCAGCCCCAGCCTCAGCCTGTCTCAGCCTCAGCCTGCCTCAGCCTCAGCCTCAGCCTCAACCTCAGCCTGCATCGGCTTGCCTCAGCCTCAGCCTCAGCCTGCCTCGGCCTCAGCCTCAGCCTCAGCCTGCCTCAGCCTCAGCCTCAGCCTGCCTCAGCCTCAGCCTGCATCAGCCTCAGCCTCAGTTTGCCTCAGCCGCAGCTTGCCTCAGCCTCAGCCTCAGCCACAGCCTCAGCCTGCCTCAGCCTCAGCCTCAGCCTGCCTCGGCTTGCCTCAACCTCAGCCTGCCTCGGCCTCAGCCTCAGCCTCAGCCTGCCTCAGCCTCAGCGTCAGCCTCTCAGCCTCAGCCTGCATCAGCCTCAGCCTCAGCCTCAGCCTGCCTCAGCCTCAGTCTCAGCCTGCCTCAGCCTCAGACTGCCTCAGCCTCAGCCTCAGCCTGCCTCGGCCTCAGCCTGCGTCAGCCTCAGCCTCAACCTGCCTCAGCCTCAGCCTGCCTCAGCCTCAGCCTCAGCCTGCCTCGGCGTGCCTCAGCCTCAGCCTCAGCCTGCCTCGGCCTCAGCCTGCCTCAGCTCGGGCATTCAAAATGTGGCACAGGACTGATGTTCTGGGAACACGAAGATCACGAAGTGGCCCACAGTCAACTCCAGGCATTCAAAATGTGGCCTGGGAATGGTGTTCTGGGAACACGAAGAACACGAAGTGGCCTACAGTTGGCTCCGGGCATTCAAAATGTGGCCTGGGAATGGTGTGCTGGGAACACGAAGAACGCGAAGTTGCCTACAGTTGGCTCCGGGCATTCAACATGTGGCCTGGGAAGAACACGAAGTGGTCTACAGTTGGCTCTGGGCATTCAAAATGTGGCCTGGGAATGGTGTTCTGGGGAATCCCCGGATCCTCCTCGGCACCCGCCCAAACCCCCCTGGGGAACCCCGGGGAGTCCCCGGATTCTCCCCGGCATCCGCCTAGACCCCCCTGGGGAGTCAAGATGCTCTCTTTTGAGCCCACTAGAAACCTATTAGTCTTCGCTGTTAGGTAAATACTCAAAAAATAGTCCCCAGACTATTTTAGGACAATTTTTTGGCTACGTTTGGGGTATCGTTTACTTTTCCTCGAAAATCCCCCTGTAGGGGGACAGGCCCGACTTAACGGTAATTTGAGGGGGGCCCGAAGGGGATGAGGATGGGGAAGGGGGTCGGGTAAACGATTCGGGGATGGACAGACCCCCTTTAGCAAAACGTGGTTTAGTGAAAAAACGACCTGAGGCCGAAACCTGGCGGGCGCAAGCCTGGAGAAGAACGGCCACGGCGCCCTCTCGAGGACCGAAAACGGACAATTCACTAATCGACGTGTCACTGTTGGGGGTTCTGTCCACCCCCGCGTATTGTGCTTCCTCTCGATGCTGCTTTTCCCCTCGGGAGCTTCGTCCTCTGGGAGCAGCGTTCCGCTGAAGAGCCCCCCCCCACAGTTGGCGGGCCCTTGCCCCCACGGAGTCGCGCTCTCGGGAGGGGGCGCCTGCGCCCGCCGCAGGAGGTGCCGGCGCGGTGCCGGTGCAGAGCGGTCCCTTGCGGCCCGCTCGAGGATGGTGCCCCCCTCGTCCAAGGGGAGACGTCATTCGGCGGCGAGCTTGGGCGGGAAGCGAGAAGGGGAAGGCCCTCTCAGGATCCACCCCCGAAAACGATCCCAAGGGGGGGGCCGTCTGCCACGCCGGGGCGGGAGCGCTCCCGCAGCAGCACCCGCCGCCCCCTGTGCGCGGGCAGGCCCTCCTCCTCGTCGGGGTCCTCCGGCTCCTCGCCTCGGGCGCCGCCGCCCGCCCACGCGCGCGGCGCGGCCGCGCTCGGCTGGGCTCCGCGCCGATCGGCCCCAGACGTCCTTGTCGTCGTCGACGTCGTCGTCGTCGAGGTTTTCGACGTCGGCGTCGTCGTCGTCGAGGTCTTCGTCGTCGTCGTCGTCGTCGTCGTCGTCGTTGTCGTCGCCGTGGTCATGGTCGTCGTCGCAACTGCATCTGGGCGCTCCAATTTACGCCCCGAGCGCCCGCAGCAGCACGCGCGCACGCGCCGCCGCCAGGAAAATCAGGGAGTACATTGTGAGCGTCCCGCGGAGATTCGCACCCGCTCTGGCACATCCTGCGCTACTTGGGGCCATCCGCCATCACGGAGCCATTGCGGGCCGCCTTTGACGCCTTAGCGCCTCGCACCTCACCACCCCACGTCGGGATTAACTGCCCATGGGAGGGGGTTCGGAGATTGTCATACCCTCAGGAGGGAAACGGAGGCTTTGAGAAGTATGTGGTCCCCTTACACCAACTACGCCCAGAGGGCTGGTGGACTATCAGGGTCTGGTAACGGATGGGATTTAAAGGGGGTCTGGAACCCTCATTGAGCAATTTCGGGCCCCTCTCTCGGGAATTTCCTGACCCAGGTCTATCCAGACCGGCAGTCAGGCTTTGCAAGACCTGGCCAAACGCTGCAAGATTCTGCAATATCCTGCACCCAGACCCGGGTTAGTGCGCCCCTGGCCTTGCAGGATCCTGCAACATCTGGCGCTCTGACTGCAGAAGAGGCGTGCTGAAAAAAGAAGAAGAAGAAGAGTAATACAAAAGGCATATGCGTAAACTTTTGGTGCTCCGCGCCCAGGCGCGCGGCCTGGGGCGGCGCCGGAGGCGCACCCGAGGGGGCCCAGCGCGGATCCAAGAAATCCGCGCGGAGCGCCACAAGTTTATGTTTCTGGAGTTTTGTTTCTTCTGCCACTGAAGGAAGGGCAGGCCATGAGATCCGCGGAGATCTCATGGTCCAAGCAATGATATCCCCCTCCACTGGTCCTCCACCCCTCTTCGACGCATGCTGGCTTTCGGGTCACAACTGGAGCCTCCAGCAGTCTTTCGGGAGAATCTGGGCCCCCTGGAACGCCCTCGACGAGACGCAGCTTCCAGAAAGCATCACGAGGCGAGAAACAGCCCGAAGTCAACGAAAACTCCTTCCCCCTCCCCCAACTGAACGTTTTCTGATTCGGCGTTTCGACCTTGGGCGGAATGGGGGGGGGGACGGGGGGGGGGGTCTGGCTCTGGACCTCTGCGTAATGCGACTGATGGGGGAGACTCCACCCGCTTGAAAATCAGCGCCCAAAACAGCCAAGATCTACTCTATGGGGGGGGAGAGGGGGTGCGAGGGGTCCCGCGCCGATCGATCGGCAGAACAAGGAGTAAGACAACGGCCACCATCGACGACGACACGAACACATTCACGTTCGATCCTCGAGCGGCCCCGCCTGTCCCGTCTCGGCCCTCACCCACGTCGACTCCGTGTCGAATCCGTGTCGGACTCGTCGGATCCGTGCCGCATCCATGTCGGATCCGAGCCGAATCTACGCCAAATCCGAGTCGCGTCTGCATCTAGCCCGCGGGCACAAGAGAAGACACCAACTTTTTGGGTACGGCGTAGACTACCTAGCTGCAACGTAAACTACCGAAGCTGCAACGTAAGTTGCAACGTAAACTACCTCACCCATCGTGGGCGCTCCCGAGGCAGGAGAGATCTGGGGCCGCTCGGCGCGGGGGCCCGCCAACGCGGCTGCGGCCCCGTGCTCCCGGGCGGCCTTGTCACATCGTGAACCCCCAGAGGGAAGCGAAGTCTGTACGCCGGCACTTTTTCTGGCCCTGTACTGAGACTTGCGCAGGAAAACGGATCCTGGTGTGTACGGGATCCTGGTGAATCCATGTTTGGGTGTTCCCCTGGGAAACGGAAGCAACAGGTATCCACCAGACCACCCCGACGTCGCCACCGACCCTCAACAAGTCCTGGGATTGAAAAACAGCCATCCACAGCTCATGTATATGGACCCATTCTCTGGGACCCATTTCGGCGGCGAGCGAGGGGGGGGAAGTGAGAAGGAGAAGGCCTTCTAGAAGGCGGCGGGGCTTCTCAGAGGCCCTCGCGCCTTTTGCAAATTTTTCGGTGTTGGGGAAGGCTCAGAAAGCTTCTCAGAAGGCCGGGGGACTTCCGAGCCTTCTGAAAAGGCCCGCCCAGTCTCGCTTCCCCCCAAAGGGCTCGCCGCCGACCATTGCTGATCATTCGGTGGCAACTCATGGGAGCCTCCCTTACCATCTTGTCGGCTCTTGCGGATCGACGCGAATCGACACTAGTCGACGCTCATCGACACTCCCTCGACTCTAATCGACACTAACCGAGGCTAAGTCGGCACTATATCATCGGCTCGCAGACGCTAGTCGACGATACGGATGGAACTAAGAAGATATACGAGGCTCCCATCACTGGCTACCGAATTATCCCGATCCGTTTTTTGACGGTCCTTGGGCCATGCGACTGCCCCTGAAAGGCCGCCAACTGCCACGAACCTCAAGTCGCTATCTTTGCACGACGCGACGGGGCCTGGGCCGCTATCGTCCCCTTTCGATTCATGACATACGGCGTCCCTATGGCTTCCCGGCGCCAGAACTCGGGCTACTGGCGGTCGTTCGGGACGATCCTCGCACCCCTGAAACTCCCTGGGCGAGGCGCAGCTGATGAGGGTCTCGCGACGCTGGAACACCTCCCGGAACCGATTGATAAAACAAGCGGAAACTGCGAGGCTTCGAAACTTGAGGCCCCCCTCTGGGCCGGTCCCCTCATCGTCGTCGGCATCACTCGAGCAAGGACCGACCGTCCCGGCATTCCTATAGTCCTACCACGATATGTTCTTAAACTAAAAACACACAAATGTTCATATAACAAAACCAATGTTCTTATAACATAAACCCGATGTGTTAAAACAAGACAGCCCCGGCCAGAAATGTCCTAAGAACACTTCGTGCAGACCACAACATGTTATTCGAACATTCCCTGGTGGGGCTATAGGCGCGCCAGGGCGCTTCGCCACTGCCTCCTCCTCCTCCTCCTCCCCCTCCTCCTCCTCCTCCTCCTCCTCCTCTTCCTCCTCCTCCTCCTCCTC